TAAAGCTCTTGGGTTTCACTTTGGATAGTAAGCTAACATGGAGAGCACACATCAACACTGTATGTTCATAACTAAGCACTACATGCTAAATAATAGAAAATATGCGGGATACCGCATGTATACTGAAATTATTATTATATTTTGAGAGAGTCAGTCTACCCTGAAATATGGCATGATATTTTGACGGTCCTCTTGTCACTTGGAAAAAAATAATAAAAACTATGAGTCATGCTCATCAAACTACAACACGTAAACCTTTATTCAAGAATCTCTTAATACTAACCCTTTCATGTTTGTTTATTCTTGAGCTGATTATGTGCATTGAAAGAAACCAAAATGAACTGATGAGAAATGAGGATACCAGGAATGAATAAGGACTTCGACAACCCTACGCGAGGTTATCAGTCTGTGGAAATTCACCAAAGCACATTGATATGCAAAGTTTCAATAAAATAAGAGATATAATAGATGTGGATGTGAATGATATTCTATCCAAAAATATATTTAGAAACTTCTTTTTCGAAAAAGTATTTTATGATGTTGAAGAATGTTATATTTTGCGACTATACACTATCTCAACAATTTTTTTTGCTACCTTCTCTGATGAGTTTTATGAAGGTGTGTATGTATGATGCCTAGTATAATATTCAGTTGATGAATAAATCATATTATTATTGAATGATTCACACCCAAACTCACCACAGAAGCCTATTAGAAACACTTTTTCCTCACCAGAAGTATTTTCAATAGGTTCATTTTGCACCGAGGTTCCAAACCACACTAATCGAGTCATCATAGGAAACTGAATCCTATCATTATTTCTCGACGTTAATTATTCGAAAACAAAGGTGTCTCCAGAGGCTCCCATAAATTCAATAAATCGCCAGAACACTTAGTGACACGATTATCGTCGAACTTAAACCAGCCCGTTTCGTCTTTGACTAAGGCTTAATAATGATGAGATTCAACGCCAGAACCACAGTGAACAATGACTACATGAAGATTAAGATAGTGGTCTGCTAGATTGAAGTGTTCATCTATTTAGAAACTTCGTAAGAGTTTGGTGCTTCCGTCAGAGGTTGAGTCATGTTTGAAGATCATCAGTGTTATTATTAGATTGACTGGTGCCTCAGCTATACTTGTTTTTTTATAACAGTTAGTTAGTTTGGTACATGCTTGGCAATACAGTCGATCATCACGTGTTGAAAGTTCCATTTTCAGATGATTTAACAGTAAGCTTTGCACGGACTGGCTATTAGTCATTTTCAACGCTAGTTGAAATTCCAAAAATTCACATACGTTTTTGCTACTTTTTGAACGTTCATTATGAAGTCAACAAGTGAAGATTTTTCCAGCAAAAGATTTACAAACACAAGACGAGATATACTGAACGGAATCATTCAATACAGAGCGGTCAAGAGTACTGATTCTGCTATTTTTCGCTCACGAAGAACCCCAAGAATTCTGAACAATATTTTTGTTGTTCTGACGAATACCTAGTGGACTTCAAAGATTCCAGGAAATCGGTTGGTGAGGAAGATGATGATACATTCTTACGAAACTGCAGCTGCATGAACTGGTGTTTGAGTTTGGTGAATGAGTAGGAAACATTCTCGTTCCCGTTCATCGTTGAAACCTTGTTCTTGAAAATCTTCGTAATGAACAACACTTATGAAATACTATTCATATTGCAAGTGTTTCCTAAATTATCTAATACAATTTTCTTCTAAGGATTTTCAGGACAACTCTCTACTGATTCGTAAGGAAAAACATGAGAACCATTCCTCAATTTGCGGTCGATCCTTCCAAGTGATTAAGGGTTTCGTAGAGGGATCGATTCGGTTCTTGCTTCATGAAGCTCTTCCACTAAAAAAGAATCAGAACCATGAGGACTGCAACTCACATTTGGTGAGCAAGAATGAACTAACTTCATTAACCGCACTGAAAAAGGAGAAGGTTGATCAATCACTTGAGAATTAAACTTGATAGGAGACTGATGAATATCCACATATTGCGACTTGTTCAGAAGAGATTTCAGTTCCGTACTGAAATGAGGGCAATGCATGATCTCATCAAAATTATGTGAAGGTGGAATAGTTCCAAGGACTGAATCAGCATTATCACGTTGAATAGCAATACTAATTCTTTCTATCAAAAAAGAGGTAGAACGGTAATCTTTCGTTGCTTGGCCTATTCTCCGTCCGACTTCATGAACGAATAACAGAGACTCCGGGCCTTACACACCAAAAGTTTTAACCGCTACTGGATGGAAAAGATAGTTGTTACCAAGATTTTTGTATATTTTTCGTTTCAATTTTTCGCCAGACAATGCTGTCGTTCCAGCAGACTTCGAACTTTCGGCTAGATGGCCAGCCGCGACCGTATAAATGCAAGTGAAGTCCTTTACAACAGGTTTACCGTATTTCCATGGTATGACAGACATACCATCTGATCGTTCACCATCATCTTGACTGGTACCTGAGGGTTCAAGAATTGCACGTACATCAGCTGACACCATAGCTCGTTTCAATATGTCGTTCACCTGGTGATGTCGAGATGTACGCCCTGCACTTCTCCTACAACTCAAACCATGTGTACGTTTCTCATCAACTATAATACCACAAACACAACTATGAGGCACACAAATAGATAAACCCATCCTAAAGCCAACTGCTATTCTAAAGGATTCATCGTCTGATAATGTTCCAAGAGATGCAACAGGTAAAGCTTTCAGCCAAGCACCTGATTTCTCAATCATTGCTGCTTTATCGTATACACTTATAGATTTCAGAAGTTTATCATTTATAATGTTCAGAAGAGGTCGGTTCCATGCCCTTTGTATTTTCTTTTTATCTGTAAGACGAACATTATTAGTTGCGGCATGCGAAAGTGATTCACCTTCAGCATAAAAAACGTCTTTGATATTGATAAATATGGAAGGAAGGATGGAATCGATAAGATCAGAAACACTATTGACTGACGACAGAAAAGCTGGTAAAGCTAAGGAAGAAGCCTAACGTAGCCCTAGTCCGCGAAGGTTCACAGAAAGCGTTGCTTGGAGTCATGCATCATTATTGAAATGATTGTTTGTAACATATTCCGTCGTGTTACGGAGTGAATTATCAAATTCGTCAAGCTCGAACTGACTTGAACAAGTGGGGTAAGATCTGAGGGCGTACATGAGTTTTGGAATCGCCAAACAATTTTTCAAAATTGAATCAAATATACTGTGTCGAAAATTCATTAACAAAGCGGTTTCCTGCCATGTCCATGATGTCTAAGTTCATGATACTGAAATAATGACCAACAAATGAAGAAGAACCGAAGGTGATATGACAAATGGATCGAAGTGGAGTCTATATACATAAGTATAGTATCCAATGTTCACTGATTGTTATTCCACCCCTCCCTTCTTCCACCCAGGGTTGGGTGCACGAAGATAGAACTGTCTCCACAATATTGTTGTATGTGGAAACCTTATTCTTATCGTTCACCCTCGCTTACTGTGGTACTTCGACTCCTCGTTGTCTGTATTGCTTGGTTGTCTGAGTCTACTGTGTGTAGTGTTCACATGGTGTTTCCCTGTGCTGACTTGTGATGGAGGTGGGTGTGTCGCGGACTAATGAGTATGTATGCAGTTTCTGATTATATGGGTGTGTCTGTAATTTGTGTGTTTCTAAAGGACGTCAATTCTTAGAAGTGATCGCTGGTTATGTTCCGGCAGCTTCTTGTGCTACATCAGTGTGTCTTGGAGCTCACACAGCGTTCGGTTGGTGTGTCCTCATATTTTTTCGAATTCATTTTCGACGTGGTTGCGCAGAAGACAGAAGGCTAACTGGGTGCTGAGATCCATCCAACAGATATATCTGTTTGACATGTATTTGGGAGCATTAACTGCCATCCGCAGACTAACGTTCACAAACCTTCGGATCTGTATGTTTTCGCGCAGTGATTCCAGACATGGAAAAATTGTCTTGATTAGGAGCAGTTTCACTTGGAGATCGATATTGCTTCTGCATCCTATGACTTCTGGTTTCTTACTTCGTTCGTCTAAAAATCTGCTGTTCTTGTTTTTCGGGATCGATATTTATGAATTTCATTGGATATATTATAGCATTTTCTTTTGACATGCATTATGCCATCCTTATCAAATGCTATTTCTTTTGAGGTGTAGCTTATGTTTCACTTGGTCAACTTGAACCATATTCAACTTACAGTACTTAATCATGAACTAAAGCGAGTTATGCTAATATTTTTTTTTATTCAAAGGATAAATTCACATCATATAGATAACCGGGTGTTCATGTTTTTCATATGTGGACCGTAATAATGCCTCACCGATCTCTGAAAAGGAAAAAAGGAATTAGTAGTGTTGTAGAATATTTATTATGTTTCTTACCTACCTTTAAGATGTCATATAATTGTACTCTATCAGGTAGAGCACACAAAACTTTCATAAATGCTATCTTCTACAGATTACACTACTAGTAGGATTCCTGTAAATCAAAAGAGACAATTTTACGTGATGTGTATAAGTAATTCTATTATAAAATTGTACTATATATTGTTACATTTACTCACCTGTTACTGAAGAGTATAATCACTCTAGTTATCATGCATTGATATATCTGTATATATTTTCATCGTTATATTTATGTATTTTCAAGACTTGGATCGTCTATTTGCGCTGGTGGTGAACTCGAATATTTTGATCTGTCATCAGAAAATAAACAATCGGATGTCGACTTCCAACTTTCAATCAGCTGAAGGATATTTTCTTTCATGTTCCGAGAGCAGATCGGTTAATGTGTTCTGTTCTCATCATCCTTCCACACTCGGTGCGTTCGTTGTTTATTCAACACTACGAAACGTGAATCTCTAGACATGCCATATGACGGGTCGAAACAACTACTCTTTTCTTCTAGTAGTCCTTTTGACATCAGGTAGAAGTTCTTGGCATTGCAGTTTTCGTCATCCATATATATGTGTATATATAAATTTTATTATTTCCAGTTCAAATCTTAACCTGTCCTAAAATAATGAATCTCAAGGTACTTTGTCTGACGTCACCGTTTCGACGTGAAAAACAGACTCAGAATGTGTGCCAGTCGGAATGCGCTGTAGGTTGATTTTTAAGAAGTTTTTTTTGAAATGAAAAAAAAGGTCTTCTTTTTTGGATGGCCGGCGTGAGTTCAGAGTGGCGACCCATAAGCACTGGTTTCCTTTGTGAAATTTTTCTTTTGCCATGAGGATATGCTCACACAGATTGTGATTTTGGTAGTTTGTTTCTGTTGAGAGCAAGTTCATCTTCTGAACCCGATAGGTATGTAATTTCAGTATTTAAATCTTGCAAGCTTCACTTCGCCATTTCGCCTTTTTTTTGTATCTTGAAATTGGTTGTAACTGAGCCTATTCCACAGGGTTTTTCCATTGGGGCTTGATGATCTTTACTCACTATAATTTGAGAAGAAATTATCCCTTCCGTCATTTTTCGAGTCTGATTTCAAGAAGTCCAGCACGGGTACTACGAGGTCCTGTTCAACAGCTTCCTGTTGTAATTGTACCGTATCAGTACTTTCAACTGTAGCAGTGTCCCGAACTCTCTAGATGTATCCCAGGTCCGATTTATAGTTCTATGGAAGTGTTCAGAATGCAGGTTCCATTGCAAGACAGATTTGATTTCACCAATATCAGCTGATGTGTTTGAATCTAGTCTTCACTTCATCTGGAAGTAAATCCACCAGGCACCCTGTTTGGCACATCCACCATACACGTTCACCATCACCAAAATACCGTCTAAGGCAGAGCTGATTCTGAAGCTCTTTGAAAGGGGTATAACATTCTATTATTTTTATTCATCATCCATGTAATGGACAAAACATATTCGTTCATAACTATCTTGGGTAGTGTCCCAGATTTTGTATATAACTCATTATATCTTATCATCATTCTACGCCATAAACAAAAATTATTGTAGTAATAAATTATTGTTGTAGATTTTGACTTTCATTTCATAAGGCTCTGTCATTCTCAATATTCTGTTTTCTGGGTTTCATAAAATCAAATTCTAGTGGCGCCTAACATTTTTTTGTGCTATCAAACGATACTTAGTTTGGACTTGAACCCATGCCCAATGCCGCCAGACGAAGAGCTGCCGTTCGCTGTGTGTATATATAAGTAAAATTTATGCCTTAATATAGATCCAGAACCTAGGTGAAACTATTTCCAGTCACCCAGATCTTGAGAGAATATCACCTTCTCAATCCAGGAAAATTAATATTTATGATAGGCCTATTTGCATCATGGGATTGGTTGAAAATTACTGAATACGTTCCAGTGGGCCGCCAATATTATTAAAACGAAAGTATATTAATTCAAGATTTTAAGTGTTCTTCTGAAAATCGTTTTATGTCAGATAATGATCTGTTAATGGGTTCATATTTTGATCTATGTACGTCAATATAATTCAAATAATATAGGAAACTACGGTGTCGGATAGATCAGGAGTATATAAGCTGACTTGTGGATCTTGTCCAAAAATCTATATTGGCCAGACGGGGAAAACATTTTCCCAACGAATTAGAAAGCATAGAAGTAGTTTTCTGGATAGGAAGGCCAATTCCTCATTTGCAAACCACCTTTCAGCAGAAGAACATGAGTTCAATCATGAATACGATGTGTTACATTTAGAAGATAAAACTTTGAGACTAAATCTTTTGGAATATTTAGAATAGATTCAGGAATTCGAGTAATTTACTGAATGATCAATCAGAATTGAATAACTCCCGTTAATAAATACTTTCTCAAATGTGAAAACTGGGACATAGGCTCAGGTAATTTAATTTATTACAAAATTACGTAAAAATCAGGTACTCGAAATGTAGTGACTTCAAATTGTAGAATAAGGTATATTTAGCATGAAATATATAGATTTAGTTGAGTAAAGACACTTCTGAAGAAGCCATTGTTTGACGAAACACGTGCTGCGTTTCTGTAAAATCGTTTAGTGAAAATCTCACAAAGAAGTGTTTTTTATAGGAAGTGAACATAAGTATCATTCAAGCATATATATTTGCAGAAAGGTGAAGACTCAACAAGACCAATTTTAAAGTTACTCCATATAACATACATAGTAGAATAGTAATGATAAACTTAATCAGTACAAACAAAACTGCAGTGAAAGTAAAAAATTCTATACTTTTGAGCTCTTGAAATGAGATTCAAATCCTTCTGAGTCTATCTTTTTTACAATTTGCAAAAATGCACTGGAACTGTCACGGTTTTTCCTACAATAATTTCACCAACGAAGTTGGCATCAAAAGGAGTTGATTAAATAGAATTGAACCAACAATTTTCAAAGTTGTGGAACACATTTTGCATAGATTTAACTTCATATTGAAAATGATTACTTTATTTTCAGTAGTATTGTAACAAAAGTCAGATTACTTCGATGATTCCTTCATTTCATCCAGTCCCAGTAATGATTGGTAACATTATATCTTTTACTCATTTTCATTCACTCTCCGTAGAATGTTTGAATAATTCATTGATATTTTCAATATCTTGTGCCGGAAAAATTACTCCGAAGATTTGGATGTAAAAAAAGTTCACTCTTTCTCCTTGAGTAAATTATAAATATAAATTGAGATTCTGAAAATATCTCGAATACATAAAGCCTCAAGTTCTACAACTTTTTTCCTCTCAGTCTGGCCTATATGTAAATTAGGTTACATAAAATTGCTAACAGAAGTTGCTAACTCAATTATAATTCTGGAAGTTGGTTCGGAAGCTGATGAAAAAACCTCACCCTGATTTTAGAGTGCCGTTGTAGGTGGTTTTACGAGAAAAGTAATAAAATTTATTAGATAGTTAGGTCACTGAATGGAAATCCTATAAAACTACATTTCCATCTTCTCATTTCCTTCAGAATCGTATAATTTCGACGTCGTTTCAGGAAATCATTTCATATAGTCAGCACCGCGAAATTGCTCCCAATAATGAGTTTCTGCGAAAGTTACTACCCACAATCTGAGCCTGATTTCAAACTTTCAAATCTTGACAGATGTTCCTGTTTTTTGTAAATGACTCAATAATTGTTCTGGTGGAATACCGATTCCACGTCTAGAATCTATCAGAATTTAACTAAGGTATTTTTCTGAATAAAAATTTGAATAATTCGGTGTGAACTACTGATTTCAATAGAAACACTAATAGGGGCTCTGAATTTTTTGATTACTAATGCTGTTTATCACCCTACGGTATTTCCAGATGCAAATAAAAGAGGTTTCAAATATCAACATAGTTTAGGTGATTGGTGAAGGTTTTGAGAGTATTCTGTGGTAACGAGAATGAAAATTGCTAGTGATTATAAGGAAAGTAATAATTGATAGTCACTGAATCACCACAACTTTGAAAAAATTTTGAAATATTTCAATTTTGAAATATTATATAAACAGTATATATCACACAATTGCTATAAAACATAACGGTCTTGATTTGGAATCTCAAAGTTGGGTTTCAAAGTGCTCCAAGTCGAACATGTATGAGATTTTTCTGATCATAGAATGTTTGCTCAATAAAGTTTCTGTGACAAAATTTGAGCATTTCTGCAGTATTACTACCCATGAAGAAGATGCAGCAGAAATTAATTTTTGTTTTTCCCGTTTATTGTCGGCACCAAAAAACCTATAGATGATTTTTTGTTATCATTAGTACTCAAAAATAAACAATTCCAATTCAACTTCTTCTCAATTTTTCACCGTTTTATAGATGTTTTGGTTGAGGTTGAAATTGAATAGCTCTGTATATAGAAATAATCAATGCAAAACGTAAGTTTTTTTCAATATTTTCTTTTGTAATTGAAAGAAAAACTGGAACCTCCGACAACAAATGTATCCAAAACAAATCCTTTTCCCAATCACCAGAAATGCACTACTCTTCTCAACGCGCGTTGCAACAACCAAGTTGACGTTTTCAGTTTTTTTCATCATCTGGAGATACCAATTTGGTTGTCGAAACAATGATAATAATAATAATAACTGATACCACTTTGGCGAACTCACTTTACCATAACATCTGGTCGAGCCAGAGTCCAAACAGGGTGGATCACTTTCAGGAGAGGTGTATTTCAGGGCGATTTCCTCAGTCCCTTCTCATCTGCATTTCACTATTGCCATTATCTAGTGCGCAGAGAAGAAATTGGAGCATTTCTCCTTAGGGCAGCTGCCCGAGCACCTGATGAACTCGGTATAGTTTTCGACTCTGAACGAGGTGACCACAACTCTGTCACCGAGTTGGAACCCGTTCAGCAAAAATCTCAGATAAAAGCCGCAGACATCACCTTACTTCTGCGGAGACACAAGGATAAGCCAATGCATGGGGTCTTGGCTTATCAAAGCGCCTGACGTTCGCTTTTTTCAGGTCAGGACACCAGGATGGTGTCTTCAACACCTTAGTCTACCGCAGTCGCGTGATGGGTATAGAGGTTCCTGACACAAGGTGCAGGGCCTGCCGCGAGGCGCCCGAGACCCTAATGCACTTGCTATCAGCATGTCCAGCATATGCGGTCTCGGCCTATATCCATCGACATAACGCGGCCCTAAGAGTGCTATATTACCATCTACGGCAC